TTTTGCTCAGAGTGCAGTAGATTTCTTTGCAAATGCAGCTTGATAGCACTGTTAATGACCTTTTCCATTACTTTGATTGAGAGTGAACTGATAAGCTAGTAATTGGCCCAACTGGATTTGTCCTGATTTTTAAGTATAGGACATACCTAGGCAATTTTCCATATTGTTGGGTAAGATGCCAGAGTTGTAGTTGTACTGGAACAACTTGTCACAGAGTGGTGGCATTCCATGTCCAGGTGCCACGTTCCTGAATCAACCACTCTGTGCATTTCCAGGAAGGAGATCCCTTCTGCCCCTCCCCAAAAACACTACCAGATCTACATTGAACCTTTTCTGCCAGACTTCCTCCTAATGTGGGGAAATGGTGGGCTTTCTTGAACCATTATTTTAAACCAGTAAGTCTCAGGCATTGGTTAACCAGGGTGCTCCTGGACTGACAGTGTTAATTTGTTTTTATTGTGAGGTTTTACAATCAGACAGCAAACTTTGAAAGACATTAGTTTGCTTTTAGTTTAGAAGATGGAAGAAATGAATTTTGCTTGGGAAGAAACCCATATTTTGGAACATTTTCATATTCAGTTCATAGAAGAACCTGGGCTCACATGTGAGAACAGTTTCTCCTGGAGAAAGGAGTTAGTTTGGAACAGTTAAGAAATAGGTTACCTCAGTATAAGGGTTTTAGTTTGAAAAATCTCTACCAGAAGTTTTTGGTTGGAAACCTGAAGAGGTTATTTGAAGCTAAGAAAGTTTAAGCCCTATTGTGTGACTAATCAAGAAAAAAGTAATAAAATTCTTGAGACAAGGAATTAAAATAAACAATTAAGTCAAGCATAAAGATGTGATAAAGATCTTTGTTTCATGACTTCTTGAGGCAATCACAAACAAAAGCTAATGGGCATTATAATGAGGCTCTTGATGCCACCAAAATCCCATTGAAGTATATTTGGGTGGCAGAGGAAAGGATTCAATGTCTTGAAATATCAGAGAAATGATTAAATACCAATCTGCATCAGTTTCCAAGATATGCACCAAAAATGGTGTAAAAACTATGCATGATGAAAACAGCAATATGATTTTTAATTTAGTAGATAACTGTTTCAAAGCAATTGAGCACTAAATCTTTCAATAATCCATTTTTTGGGATGATATGGAATACAAATGAATGATCCTTGAATTCTATTGGCCAACTTGATACGTGGGACTTTCATGGATGGAAATAGTTTGGAAAATGGATAGAAACACTCACTGAAAATGGCCACAGGAACCACCTGACCCATACAGGTTGGTCAGGTTTCGTGAAACCAATATAAATTAGACCAAAGATAGTCTGAGCTGAAATTAATATTTTCTCCAAGAGCAATGAAACCCACTAATCAGGCCCATAATGGATGAGTAAAAGGTCTGTGTTTCTCATTATGAGAACCTTCTTCATTGTGACGATCTTCATATGTCGGGAATGAAACATCTACTGTAGTTACCAGCCTAAACAATAATCTCCACGGGCACTAAATGTACAAATAGCTTCTATTTCAAGGACATTTTTGGCAAATCAAAGGATGGAATGTTGAAATAAACACAGACTGAGAAGGCTGTTTCCTTCTCCCCCATGAAGAAAGGTGCCAGGTTGACAACACTGGCTGAAAAATAAGCACTAGAGAATGGAGGACTTTAAAATATAACTGCAATATTCATGACTGCTAACTGCATCCAAGAATCCAAATAATCAACCATGGTCACAGGTTAAAACCTTGTACCTTAAGGATTCCAAAAGGACTTAAACATGTGTATTATTTTATCTTCCTTTGTACTGAACATTGTACCTGTGTGCATACACGTGTGAGGGCCTAAGTGTCTGCACGAAGATTGTATGCTTGATGTTTACAGTAGAAATGCTTAACAACATTTTAATTGGAAAGAGTTATAGCCTTGTGCTAAAATGTTTGTAATGAGATGGCTTAAAAAATGGAACCTAGTTTACACTTTCTCATTGGGTTGTAACAAAAGAGCTTGGGTCTCAGATGAAACAGTAAATGAAAAACTCACTCCTTGGAGCCTTTCTCAACTGCTTCGATGGGAAAATGCCGTTAAAACTGGGAACTGGCTATTCTGTGACTATTGTTGGCTATAATAAGGTAGCAATTAACACATTTTGCCTGTTTTACAGGCATGAAACAGGCATACATCCGAAAAGGAAATGCAACAGGGAATGTGGTTCTGCTGCAAACCAAGGCGTATGAAAGCAATTTAAAAGCAGTGGTTATAGCTTAAGAGCAGAACAGGTTGTTTTTTTGGAACTGTGAAATTTTCTTTATTCTCACTTAACTTAATATGTTCCCTCTTTTTCTGTGCAAGGGATACATTGCTGATGGAGTTGGAATACAAGGAAAAGTAATGATATTCTACAGCATGTTTAACCATTCTGTTGTAAATATGGATATATCGTGAAATAGATTGGGAAGCTAAATGGTCATTTGAAAGATCTTGAAAGTAATCAAATTCTGAAGAAGGCTGATATCGGATTTGAAACATTAATTCTGTTTTTCTGAGCACAGATGCTGACAGACGTGCTGAATTTCTCTAGCATTTTCTGTTTCTATTCAGAGCTCCAGCATTTGCAGTATTTTGCTTTTATTGGGAAAGAATCAGATGTGTTAATTCCTTTTTGTAAATAGGAATCTTGGAAAGCATGAATTGAGTATCTGGGCACTTGTTAATTGTCTGTTTTGAAAGAATGTGACACTTCAGACCATTGTGTTTCATTCCTTATCAGACAGACACAAACACTAAATTCCCAATGTCCACCATTGCATTGGCAGAGGATTCTCTGAAAAATCCTGAAAAATTGTCATAAATGGTACCTATTTTGTTTCTCTAGAGTTTCAATGGATCTTCTGATAAAGTTATATTGGACTCTTGATTGGATAACCACATCCTGTAGAAGCTATTTATGAATTGGCCAGAAATAGCATATCACAATCTGTGTGGATAATGAAGGAAAAATACAAACGCACAACTATGTATTTTAATAGCGGAACAAGTTTTTTTTATTTAAGCTGCTGAAGAACTCTGTACTGTGGTGCAAAGGATGTTTTGTGCCATGAGAACAGTTGTGTTATTGCATTACCTTCCAAAGTTGACTGATGTTTAGTGTTCTATTGTGAAAGTTACTGGAGTAATGCTAAAGTTGGTTCAAAGGCTGGAAAGGCTTCAATATTACAAAACCTAGTTACATCTTTAGGGTATGTACAGGGATAATTTCAGACAATCAACATAATACCCTGCTGGGAAAACATTATAGTGAGGGCAAGATGGGTTAGTTATGGTTTTCCTGTTTCTTCTTTATTCAGACAATGGATGGAGGATGGGAATATGTGGATTCAATATATATCTACCATTCCAGCTACACGAACAGATGTGATAAATTTGCAGGATCAATTAGATCAGAAACTACAACAAAGACAGGCCCGGATGACAGGAATTTGCCCTGTTCGTCGGGAATTATATGGACAATGTCTTGGTGAGTGATGTATCTGTTCACAAATTATCGGCGGTATGTTCCCATTTTCAGTATTACGTTGAATGAGATTCATGGCTGCCGTTCCGCCAAGACTTGTAGTGACTTTTCTCACACAACCTTCTGCTTGTCTTTTCATTAATTGTGGAACTAGGATCTCGGGGGCCTTTTTCATGAAATTGTGCTGCTGGAGAGGTGGAAATGCCCACCTCTGGCAAGAACTTCCATTGTTCACGCTACTGGTGCATATTTAAAGCCCAGCTGTACACCACTTCACTTCAGATGTTGCAAGCCAGGAACTACCCTTCACACACACTGTTCGACTATTATGTCCTTTTAAATGATGTAATTGAAAGTTCAGTAAATTTGTTGGTACCTCAGGGTTCTGATCTGTCATTGTGTCACTACTGACCCTGGTCATGAACATCGCCTGCAAGTTTGCTTTCTCAGGGAGGTGTGTTTAGGTATGTTTGTCTTTTGCAGTGGCAGCCTTTGGTGCAGGCTGTCTGTGACCGAATCTTGTAAAAATGGAGTGACAGTCTTGAATTGTTTAAAAAGTGAATACCGATTATTTTACCATGGCATGCACAATGTTTAAAATGAGATGTGGGGTACTGATGGTTGTAAAAGCGGTGTGTGTGAATCTGATGAGAAGGAAGTTCACTGATTTGTGTGCACTGCTGTAAGAAAGTGAAAACAATCAGGGGAGGGGTGTGTTGTGAATAGTAATTGTGCAGGTCAGTAAGGTGTGAGCTGAGCAAATGAAAGCAGTATTCTCATTTTGACAATTTCAGGGATGTCAGTGAACTTTTTTGTGTGGTATTATAACCATGTGCTCAAATCTAAGTTCTTGGCATTGACCTCATAAAACAAAAGGCAAAGAAGCAGATGTAAACATTTGGCCCTTTGAATCTGCCCTGCTATTCAATGAGGTCATGGTTGATTTGATAATCCTCAACTTCATTTTCTTGCCTTTTCCTATAACCCTTGATTCCTTTACTGATTTAAAAAATGTCCACCTGCGCCTTGAATATCGTTAACAACCCAGCCTCTAGAGCTCTCTGCAGATTAAAAAAAATTTCCAAAGGTTCGGTACCCGCTGAGGGGAAAAAAAATCGTCTTCATTTCTGTCTTAAATGGCTGCGCCCTTATTCTGAGATTATGTCCACTGGTCCTAGACTTTCCCACAAGTGAAAATTACCTTTCCGCATCTACCCTGTCAAGCCTCCTAAGAGTCTTATATGACTGAACAAAGTTGCCTCTTCTTTTAAACTCTAATGCGTACAGGCCCAACCTATTCAACCTCACCTCAAAAGAACCTTTGGTACCTGGGAACAATATAGTGAAAGCTCTCTGGGCTGCCTCCAATGCCATGATGTTATGACTTAGGTAAATGTCCCAAAATTCCTCACAATGTTCCAGGTCTGGTCTAACTACTGTTTTGTATTGCAAGACCTCCCAATTTTCATACTCCATTGCTTTGAAATAAAGGCTTCCTTTTTACCAGCTGAACCTGTATGCTAGTATTTTGTGAGAACTCCCAGATCCCTCTGCTTCAACTTTCTGCCAGTTTTTGCCTACTTGCTTAACCTGTCTATATTCTTCTGCAGACTCTTTGTGTTATCTTCATTGCTTTGTTTCCCAACTATTTTTGTTTCATCTTCAAAATTGGCGATAATACATTCACTACCTGTATCTGAGTTGTGAATATATATTGTAAATAGCTGTGGGTCCAGCGCCAATCACTGTGGTGCAGTAGTAGTTACTGGTTACCATCTTCAAAGTGCCATCCCTTGTTCCAAGTCTTCATCTTCTATTAGCTATCCGATTCTCTATCCATGCTAATATATTAGCACCATTATCATGCGCTTTTATATTATTAAATAGCTTAACGTGTGGTACCTTGACCACTTTGCACTTACTGATGAAGGTGTTTTCTCACAAGTTTCCTGCATCCTGGAGAATTGGATCATTTCCCTTTGGTCCACTGACTGGATATGCCAAGAATTTCTGAGCCTCCACATCTCCCACTCTGGATTTCCTGAAATCAATTTTTTTTTCTCTCAGAAGTTTTATCTGACGAATGCAGCCAAAGTGCAACTTCTCTTTAAGGAGTGTTGATTACCTTTTAACTGGATCATAATCATTACATTGCCAGTTTTGCCAAGCAGATTCACAATCAGTACATAGCCCAGATAATACTAGCTGCATATGTGACTCATGATGATAATGAAGTAGCAACAACACATTCACCTGATCTCAACATAGACACTTAAACTTCATCCCATTAAAAACAAACCCTTCATTAATTTGAAAGGAACCTGGATCGGCATCTCAAGAACTCTAATCTGGAAAGCGAAGGACCAGGTGCTGAAAAGTGGAAACGGAATGGCTGCTTGTTTATTCAGTTATTGCAAACATGATGCGTTGAAGGCCTCTTACTGTGATGTAATTTTTCTATGGTTCTTTTTCTATGGTTAGTAGATATCAGAGACAGAGGAAATTCTGTGCAGCAATACTTGAAAACTCAAAGCTTTTTCTCCAGATAATGGGTCAACTTCTATTATTTCCTAATAAATGAGTCTGTATAATTTTTGTTGACCCTCAAGTATATTTCAGCAGAATTCTACAGTAACAAATTCACATCAACATCCATTGGGTTTTATAGTCCATATTTGGAATTTTATCGCATGACAAATAGGTCTAATGACAGGCTGGAAAGTCAGCTGCTTTGGTTATTTGCAAGACTGATAACCATATTTTAGGGGGACTAGAAACCATTGGGATTGCCATCCCTTCAAAGACAACTACTGGCCCATTAAGATGACCACTCACCTGTTTCTTCTCAGCATTTTACTGACCCTCAAAATGTCATCTTGCACTTAGAATGACTGTTTGGAAGATTCCAACCATGTATAAGGAGTCTTGGTACATGTTTTGTTATGAAAGTATAGACTCTGTCTTTATTATAGCTGTAGAAATGGCAATATTTCATTTGAATCAATAGTCAAAGTTAATCCTTCCATAATATGGCAGAATATGCTGCAATCTCAAATCAGTTTCTCTCTTACACTTTTGCATACTGTTGTAACTTAGTCTCATAATTAAGAACTATAGCGTCCTGAGCTTAGCCAGTCTTGATGACTTCATGTAATTATCTTATGAGAACATTTTACCTTTTAATTTTCTCCCATTTCCCTGCCTTTTCTGAAAGTCCTATTTATGCAGTACGCTTCTCGAACCACACACAGCCATATGGTTATGCTTCATGTGTGCACTTTCTATCTTTATTTTAAAATTGCTCTCATCTAGGTTCTGTAATATAGAGGTTGGTTCATATGTTCCATTCTTTACAATTTATTGAAACTTAATACATTAGCTGGTTTGCACTGAATTGGAGCCTATTATTTGTAAATCAGATTGACTTTGAAAATAATAGCTGCATATTGCCTGATTGTCAATTCTAAAGGTTTGTTTTCAGTTAAACAAAGTTCCGAAGATTGATCCAATTGTAGTGTAGTTGTAACCAGATCAGTATTTCACTTTTTATGACTTGCATGATCTTTCAGAAAGGGCTTCTATGGATCAAATTAATTTGCTACTGAGCAGAACAGGTTTAAACTTTCAAGTTTTGCGAAAATACCGTTCACGTTTTTACATATTATTTTAAAATTGATGGAGAACAACGCTGGAAATAGTGACTGCATTCGTGCAGTAATAACTGCATTTGATTTGAATTATTTACAGATGAACTTATTAGACAGATCACCATCAACTGTCCAGAACGTGGCCTGTTGCTTCTTCGAATTCGTAATGAACTTCTCATGACTCTTGAAACTCATGAGACATTGTATGAAAGTAGTGTTGCATTTGGTTTGAGGAAGGCTCTGCAAGGAGATCTAGAAAAGATTCACCTCCGAAACCGTGTAAGTTGCTACCACAAAGGCTATGGGTGAGATTTAATCCATGTGATGGAAGTCGTGGTCACTGACTGAAGAGTTGGCAAGACCCCTGTGTTGTCTCCTTTGGGAATGCCACCTAATACGGTGGGCTATGTGACAAGGCCCTCAATTTAGTATTATATTTGGATGTGGGGTGGGACGTTTGTCCATGAGCTGCAGTCACTGAGCTACTCTCAGGATCACAGTTAACCAGTTGGGACTACTTAAAGGCAATTGAAGGCCAATGAGTAATGTCACTATATTTGCACAATGTATAATGCATATTAACAATATTACAACTGAGGCATTGGCCATTCTGGATTGGGGAGATACTATGAAAATGATCAAGACAATTTAAACCAATGATCATGATAAACCACTGCCTGTAAAATTTTAAGAAATCTGAAACCCACACCCCACCATCCACCTCTGTGCCACTTTCCCCTGCACTTAGCAGAGGTTGGATGAAGGAGGTAACCAACCCAATTTTCAAGAGTCGAGTCGATCACTTAAATAGTATCATGAGACTATGATAATATTTCTCAGAATTAACCACCCTTTCAAATTCATTCCTTGCTGGGTGGGTTTTCTGAACTAAGCAGAAATTCCAGTAGCCAAAGGGAGATAAAAACTGCTAATTACAGGAGGTAACTGCCTTTCTATTTCCCTTGTAGATTCAGCCTACCTGGTTCTACCTCACATCTACCTCCAATCTCCTCAATCACCGCCACCAATCCTCATTCTGATTTCACTCTCCTGTTGATCTGTCCAGTTTCCCCATTGAGTCCCCCGAAAGCCTGTCCACTCTTCTCCATCTTTGACCATTCTGGTCTGCACCCCAAGACATTGATCTTTCCCTTCCAGCTAAGTCCTGGTGCCAAAGGCCAACCCAGCTGAGAGCGAAACAGCCTCAATCTACAGCATAATAGTCTGAACTGAACTACCAGTAATATGAGAATCCTCAGTATTTATGACTGAGCCATTAGAATTTTGTCGCAGAAAAATCCATTCTGGCATGTATTTGTAGTGAACTCTTGCAAAACCTATGGACTCCAGACTGTTTCAGTATTCTTACTGATTGTACACAGTAACAGAGAAAGATATTGGCAGACTTGATGCTAGTGTCATTGTAATAGCTGAGCTACTTGTATTTTTTTTTATTGAATCCTGAGTATAAATGTAGTTCTTTTCTTTACAGAACTCATTAATCAAAAGGCTGGAAAATTTTTTTTTTGTACTAATAGATACATGTACTAGAAAGAGAAAAAAGTGAACTTCAAAATGAACTTAGTAAAATTGAAGCTAAATATGAGGCAGCTGAGAAACGAGCAGCTGAGAGGAAAATGTTGGATGACAAGAGGCATTCAGAAGAAGCATTAGTCTTTAGAAAGACTAATCAACAATTGAAGGTAAATTAACAAATTTTGAATATAATATTGCTGAGGTATCCTAGGAAAACTTCTGTGCTTTAACGCGACCACAAATGGATTATTATATTACGGTGGTGTCTTTTAAGAACGGTAGGAGGTGGTGGCGCCTGATAGCCAAGAGAAAGTTCAAAGATATCAACTCTCTTCAATCCATCCATTTTTGTTATATACGGACACTACCACTGTGCCACAAGAGGGCCCTTGGATCTATATTTTTAAAAAAAAATTAGCCTATTTTTCTCAGCAACCATTCAGAGATGTTATTACACAACTCTGGAGCAGATGAGACTTGAACCTGGTTCTCTCGGTCCAGGGCTACACCCATTTATTTTTGATTAAAATGGGTCGCCCATTCCACCTGTCCATCAAGTGATCCTTGATGATTGATTTGTGTAAGGTGGCTAGGATGTCGATTTTGAAGCTTATCAGGCTCAGGTGTGAGTGAAATTTGAGCTGGAGCACACACCATATCGTATGTGCTGATTGTCAAAACATGCCAGTGGGAGCATGTAAAACCAACACCATATATTGATGAGAAAGCACCATGGACATTATCAATAAAATGAGAAGGTAAGATAATAGAATGACTCCAGACATCGAGAGAACAAAGAGAATGCCATCTCTTCTCAGTAACTGAAATTTCTAAAGCCTAAAATAAGATTTATAATATATTAAAAAATAGATTACAGATCATTTTATTGCAAGATGGCAACACATTCATCATTTTTTCTATTGAATAGGGACCTTTTTATATTAGCAGCTACGATTAATAGTCTAATAATAACTGACTGATAGCTCATAGTAGAAGGAAGATTGGTTAACAGATATTAAATATTGGGCAGTATTATATGCTTGCCTGCCAGCAGATTTGAAAGTTGGGGTTAGGGGGTGGATGTACGTGGAATCTACTGGTTGGCCTTCCTATTAATAGGCCACCCACCCCTGGTGTGTCCTGAAACTGTATGGGTGCCAGGGAGCTCATGAGCGGCCCTTCACCCTTAGGCCTACTAAGGCCTTTAAGTCACTATTAATGGACACTTAAAGATCTCCCTCTGTTGTCACCTGTATCTATGTGTTTGGGGGAGAGGTTCATGCCACATAGGAAGCACAGCAGTTTTAGCAATGTGGGCTGGTATTGGGCAATTGGGAGAGAATTCTTTTGACTCTCACCCCATTGCCACAAACCCTGATCCCACACACCCACAGACACCTATTAGTCCAGATCCTCAGCGTCAGGAACTACATATAGTCCCAGAAATGGCTACCAGTGGTGCTTCAGGGGTTACAGAACTGCTGGCCAATCCAGTTAACTAGCATCTCTCCCAAGTGGGACTTCTTTCCAAAAAGGGTGTAGACAGGGTGTGAAGAAGGCATTTGGCACACTTGCTTTGTTGGTCAGAACATTGAGCATTTCGGGATGTGGGTGTCGCTGGCTGGCCAGCATCTATTGTCCATCCCTTGTTGCCCTTAAGAAGATGGTGGTGATCTGCCTTCTTGGACCGCTGCAGTCCACCTGCGTGGGTTAACCCACAATGCCATTAGGGAGGGAATTCCTGGATTTTGACCCAGCGACAGTGAAGGAACGGTGATATATTTCCAACTCAGGATGGTGAAATTCTTGGAGGGTCACTTGAAGGTGGTGGTATTCGTATGTATCTGCTGCACTTGTCCTTCTAGATGGAAGTGGTAATGGGTTTGGAAGGTGCTGTCTGAGGATCTTTGGTGAATTTCTGCAGTGCATCTTGTGAATAGTATACACTGCTGCTACTGAGCGTCAGTGATGGAGGGAATGGAGCTGCACCCATCCGGGCAACTGGGGAGTATTCCATAACGCTCATGGCTTGTGCCTTATAGATGATTGACAGTCTTTGGGGACTCAGGAGGTGAGTTACTTGCCATAGTATTCCTAGCCTCTGACCTGCTGTTATAGCCTCTGTGTTTATGTGGTGAGTCCAGTTGAGTTTTTAGTCAATGATAACCCCCAGGATGTTGACAGTGGAGGATTCAGTGATGGTAACACCACTGAATGTCAAGAGCTGGTGGTTTGATTATCTCTTATTCGTGATGGTCATTGTCTGGCATCTGTGTGGCGCAAATGTTACTTACTAGTTGTCAGCCCAAGCATGGCTATTGTCCAGATCTTGTTGCATTTGAACATGGACTGCTTCAGTATTTGAGGACTTGCAAATGGTGCTGAACATTGTACAATCATCGGCAAATATCCCCATTTCTGACGCTATGGTGGAGGGAAGGTCATTGATGAAGCAGCTGATTACAGTTGTGGTCACCCTGCTATAGGAAGGATGTTATTAAACTGGTAAAAGTGCAGAAAATATTTGCAAGGATGTTACTGGGACTGGAGAGTTTGAGTTATAAGCAGAGGCTGGATAGACTAGGACATTTTTCCTTGAATGTAGGACGTTGAGGGGTGACGTTATAGAGATTCATAAAATCTTGAGAGGCATAGATAAGGTGAATAGCCAGGTCTTTTGCTTAAATTAGGGGAGTCCAAAACCAGTTGGCACAGGTTTAAGGTGAGAGCGGACGGATTTACAAGGGACCTAAGGGGCATCTTTTTCACTGAGAGGGTAGTGCGTATATGGAATGAACTGCCAGAGGAAGTGGTAGAGACAGGTACAAATACAACATCTAAAAAATATTTGGACAGATACATGAATAGGAAAGGTTTAGAGGGATATGGGCCAAATGCAGGAAAATGGGATTAGTTTAGTTTGGGAAATCTGACCAACATAGACAAGTTGGACCGAAAGGTCTGTTTCCATCTTTATGACTCTATGACTCTATAAATCTTGCCTTAACACAATTAAAGCTGCTCCCAGCATTACCTTTCTGCAAGCCTGCCTTTAGGACTGTAGGCAAACTTGCTTACTCCCTGATATTAAGAGAAGGAAATTATTACACCCTGTAAAATGAAGCCCTATTTTTCAGCACTAATAAAGATTCAAAATAATATTGGTTAACTTTTTACTGTGAACTGTGAAAAAAGTACTAAGCAGAAATGAATTAGTTTAAAGCCAATAATTATAATACCTAGACTAGCCAAACAAAATTACAGGAATTATAAATTTACTCCACCCAAAAGATCTTGCTGACTTAGGTTTTGTAGCATTCAAAGTTTTTTATGCATTTTTGGTGGTATGCGTTATAGCTGACCTGTGTAAAATTAAGAAATTGGCTCAAATTGCTATAGTGTAATAAATGGTGCTATAACGATAGCCCTAGTCTTCAGCAAACAATTTGTGCATCTTCTTTGCAGCCGTAACTTTGTATTCCTTGCTCTGTTCAATCACTCTATGATCTTTGTATGTTATGATCTGCCTGCACTGCACGCAAAACAAAACTTTCACTGCCCTTAGGTACATGTGACAATAATAAATCAAATCAAAACTGTCCAATATTGTTGTGTTTTCCAATAAGCCAGACCAAATAAAGCATCATGGATGTTTCTATAAAAATTGGCATCTTTTAGAAATATTGTAGAAGACTTTTTTTGTATTCACATGAACCACGAGTTAATATATTTGTGATGCCTTAAGATCTTTGGTACCAAGAAATTTGATAAAAGATCTATTTGTGGAGCTGATGCCTCATTTCTACATAAAAGTTGAGAAAATTCCCCCTCCCACATTTGTCCTCTGTTCCTTGTTTAATGCACGACAACAGGCTGGCTGCATAATTTGAGATATGTCACCTTAGAAAAATCTAGTTGCATAACAATTTAATGCAGCAATGGCCTTCATAAATTTGTGCTGAAGTTGTCATTTACACATCACCCTTGAAAAGGTAGCATAGTCTGTTGACAGTGTCCCTTGTGAAGTCAGGACAGGATTCATCTGACACGCCAATTGGAACTATCTGGATTTGCAAATGCCAACACATATGCAGCCTGTAATACCTGATTTTCTTGTCCATTAGATTCATCTAAATATTACATACTTTTCAAGAAAATGGAGAAAGATAAACTTCGCAATTATAAGCTAGTCAGTTTAATGTCAGCAAATGGGGATGATTTTGTACATATCATGTTTAACTAACTTGATTGCATTTTTGAATGAGATAGTGAAGAACATGAATGACAGCAGTGCAGTTGATCATGCATATGTAAAATTTCAAAAAGTGCTGTTAAATGTAAACCAGGCTAGTTTGCAAAATGGAGCTCTGTGGTATATGAGGGCAATAACATTAATAACATTAAATTCAAAATTGGCTAGCGGAAAGCAAATTTTGATTTGATTTAATTTATTATTGCCACATTACAGTGAAAAGTTTTTTGTTTTGCATGCAGTACAGGCAGATCATACCATACAAAGTGCATTAGGGTAATAGAACCAAGTGAAGAATATGTTATGGCTGCAGAGAAGGTGCACAAAGAGCGAGATCAATATTAATTTTAAAATTTGAGATGTCCATTCAGAAGTCTAATAATAGCTAGGAAGAAGCGGTTCATGAATCTGTTGGTATGTGTGTTTTAAGCTTTTGTATCTTTTGCTTGATGAAAGAGGTTGGAAGATTTTATAACCGGGTTGGGAGGGATCTTTGATTATGTTGGCTGCCTTCCTAAGGCAGAGAAATATAGATGGAGTCAATGGATGGAAGGTTGGCTTACGTGATGGACTGGGCTGTGTTCACAACTCTCTGTAGTTTCTTACAGTCCTGGGCAGAGCAGTTGCCGTACCAAGCTGTGATGCATTGGGATGGAATGCTTTCTATGGTGCATCTATTTTAAAAAAAAAAGCAAAATGGTATGTGGAAGCTACTAGAACCTGTCTGTTGTATTAGTGGAGGCTATTTTCAAAGTGGAATGAGTTAGCTATTGGCTATCTAGTGCTGTTTCCTATGCTTTAGTGCTGGAATCCCTGATGTACATTAATGACTTAGGGTACAATGCATGATTTTGAAATTTGCAGATGGAACAAAACTTGGAAACGTCGTAAATTGTGAAGAAAATATCAAGAGACTTCAAGAGCTCATGCACAGTCTGATGGAAAAGTCATAAAAATGCCGGATGAAATTGAAAACAGAAGTGAAAGATGGTACATTCTGGTAGAAGGGATGAGGAAAGACAAAAGTTAAATAGTACAATTTTAAAACAGAATCAATAAGAGAATGGCTTCGTGTTATGGTGAAATCTTTGAAGGTGGCAGAAAAGGTTAACAAAGCCATTTATAAATCATATAGGATCTTGGAACAAAAACAGAAATAGCTGGAGAAACTCAGCAGGTCTAGCAGTATCTGTGGAGAGAAACCAAAGTCAATGTTTCCAGCGTACTGACCCTACATCAGAAGGATCCTGGAGTTTATATTTAGAGGTGTAGAAGACTAAAGCCAAGGAAGTTTTATATTTATGTGAAACCCTAGTTCAGCTGCAGTATTCCATCAAACTGTAGGCACCATACTTTGAGAAGAACATGAATGCTTTGGAAAGAGTATAGAAGAGATTCACGAGAATCATTCCAGGAATGAAGGATTTCTGTTACATGAGCAGTTAGATCTTTTCTTCTTAACGCAGGAAAAGCTAAGGAGAAATTTGATTAGTGATCTTGAAAGCAACCATCAGCTTCTAAAAAGAAATTCAAACTCTCAGTTATTAATGGGAAGAAATTATGCCACAACTTTTGTTGTACAACAGCTGAACAGAGCAAGAACTGATTATATGATAGATTGGATTTTCTATTCCCCTGCTATGATATTTGATGGCAGGGGAGCTTATAAATGCGGCCAGCCCATGGCATGCCCACATGCCCCTGACATGTCCCATTTTACAGGGAGGGAAGGGAATGTGATTGCTGTGTAGGGCAGGCCCACTCTCTTTGGGCCTATTGATGTCCTTTAGTAGTCAATTAAAGGGACACCGGACAGGTGCTAATATCATCTTCTAATTTTAACTGTTTACATTAATTCATCTCCTCACATTTCTGAATTTGATTATTTCTGCACACCCAAACCTGTGGTGACGTTATCAGCATTCATTCTTAAATCTGGAATATTAAATCGAGAGAGGAAAGTATAAATTGTTAAAGTCAAATAGCTGCACAGAGGCCATTATCCCATCACCAAGTCACCCTTTATTTACACATGCAGAGTACGTGGGCTGTGACCAGCCAGCTCAAAGCCAGTCCCTAGACTGAGGAGACTTTCTAAACCTCCTGTGTATATCTGTCAGCTGGGGCTCCCTGATTTGCCCAGGTTAACAACCCCAATTCAAGGATCTCATAGTCAATGAAATTCACCTGCCCATGGTTCCAATCACTGTATTAGAGGAAAGTGGATGTCTGAGGTGAGTGCATATGTAATTTCTTGCTTCTGGTTATACACTTTCATCACTGCTAACTTCACCACCCCCTGCACCCCCAGAAAGAAAACATTTCCTGAAGGTTGCATCAGAGATAGAAAGGCTGTCAACCTGCAAACAGGTATCTTGTTATGAGTATTAAAATGCCAATTCAGTCATTGTGTAATTTTGAAACACCACCCCCCACTCCACAACCTCCCGGCTCAGGCTTATCCCACTTCATTTATGTAGTCCCAGGGGCAGAGTGAAGGCAGCCTCCTGGTGGCAGACCAGATAGTCAGTGGTTTGGGAAATCACTGAGCACATTTCTGTACCCGTACCTACCCAGGCACAGCCTCAGTCATTGATTGCTAAGTGGAAACAATCCCCTTCATAATATTGGTCAGCCAGCTGAGGATTAAGTAGTAAAGTGGAACCTGGTGGAACAGTGGCTCAGTGGTTAGCACTACTGCCTCACAGTGCCAGGGACCCAGGTTCGATTCCAACCTCGGGCGACTGTCTGTGTGGAGTTTGCATGTTCTTCCTGTGTCTGCATGGGTTTCCTCTGGTTTCCTCCCCCAGTCCAAAGATGTGCAGGCTAAGTGGATATGGACATGCTAAATTGCCTGTAGTGTTCAGGGATGTGTAAATTAGGGGGATGGGTCTGGGTGAGATGCTCTGAGGGTCAGTGTGAACTTGTTGGGCCAAAGGGCCTGTTTCAACACAGTAGGGATTCTCTGATTCAATATGGGCTGTTGTGAATTTCTACACATTTGGTTACTGTCTTGCTTAGGTGGTTTGCTCATACACATCTGAGAAAGCTGTATGCATTATTAAAATGGGATTTGCCTGATTTTGATGTCAATTTTATTTCAAGTAGAATATATATAACCCTCATGTTGTGACAAGGTCCAGTTGATGATAAACATGACCCTTAACCACTCATTGGCCAATCTGTAAAAACCTGTCTGATTGTTGTTCTCAACATGGTGGAGGGTTGGAATATGCATTGTCACACGGACATTGAGTTCTGGACCCAAATGCAAAGTCCTGGCAATAGTCTTATTAGAACAAAATACTTTTTATTTTCTACAGTTTTTATATATAAAATGTTTTCATACTCTGTTCTTGCATAATAACAGTATTTTTTCTTTTACGTAGCTACAACTTGAAGGCATCATTACTTACAGAAGATGAATTGCATCCTGCTCTGAGTCCTCTGAAGGTACCATTACATTTAATGAAGCTTTAATCACTAGTTCTGTGGTCATGCCTAACATGTGGAGAAAGAAGAAAATTACATATGCATTAATGCTGCATAAACATACAAATTAAAATTCTCAAGTTCAATTTTCATAAATTAATGTTTACCATAAATCTCTCAAAATAAAATATCGGTATTATGAATGTTGGTTTATTATCATAATAAAATGGTGACTAATGAGTTGCTTTGAGTAACAATATTATGAAAATGAAACAAAAACAGAAAATGCTGGAGAAACTCAGCAGGTCTGGCAGCATCTCTGAAGAAAGAAACAGAGTTAACATTTAGAGTCCAGCGACATTTCTTCAGAACTGAAAATTAGTTGTCTTTTAATTATTAATCTTTGGGATGCAGACAACGCTAGCAAGGCTGGCACTGGCCATTCCTGGTTGCTGTGAGGAAGTGGTTGTGGGAATTAGTATGCATTGCTAAACCCTCAAGATGGCAGTTAAGAGTCATGATATTGGTATGGAATAGAATCACACATGGACCTGACCAAGTAATGTTGGTTGGTTTCCCTTCCTAAAAGACATTTGAAGACCAGGTTGAGTTTTTGTAATAACTCCACACATTTTGGTGACAACTTTTCCTGACACAGCCTTTTTGATTTTTTCTAAAAATTGAACTCAAATTCTCATATGCCTTAGTGAAGTATAAACTATAATTTTCTGGATTCTTGCTCCAACCTGTGAAATAGTTGTTCAGTAACAAAATTTCTATGTTACAGTATGAATATATGAAAATTACATACAGGAAAGAAAAATATCTTGTTTATTGAAGCCCACACAGTCATTACACATTGCACACCATAATTATATCCCCACCATAACTATACTACCCATTAGGAGCCATGTAACAAGCTTGTCTCAAAACTATAATTCTTGTTATTCATTCATGGCATTTGCATTATTGGCTGGGCCAACATTTATTGCCTGTCCCTAGTTCCTCTTGAGAAAGTGGTGGTGAGCTTCCTTCTCGAAATGCTGCAGTCAATTTAATGTAGGTAGGGGAGTATGTTCCAGGAACACTGGAACCATTAACCCAGAAACACTGAAGGAACAGTGATATATTTGCAAGGCATGCTGGTGTATGTCTTGGAGGGGATCTTGCAGGTAGTAGTGTTCCCCTGTACCAGGTGGTTTTGTAATTCCAAATGGTAGTGGTCATGGGAGCCTTGGTGAATTTCTGCAGTGCATTTAGTGCTGCTGCTGAGCACTGGTGGTGGAGGGAGTTAATGTTTGTGGATCAATCAAGCGGGCTGCTTTGTTCTGGATCATATCAAGTTTCCTGAGTGTTGTGGGAAGCTGTACTCACCCAGGTATGTGGAGAGTATTCCTTCATACTCCTGACTTATTCTTCATAAGTGATGGGTAGGCTTTGGGATTCAGGAGGTGAATTACTTGTTGAAGGATTCCTAGCCTCTGGCATGCTTTTGAAACATAATATTTAAATGTCCAGTTCAGCTTCTGGTCAGTTGTAACCCCAGCATATTGAGAATGGAAGATTTATAGATTTATCCATGGTAATATCATTGACTGTCAAAAGGCAATGGTTAGATTCTCTCTCTTGATAGAGATGGTCATTGCCTGGCACTTGTGTTTTGAGAATTTAACTTGCTATTTGTCTGCCCAAACCTGGATCTTGTCCAGTTACAGTGCATTTAGACGTGGACTGCTTCAGTATCTGAGGAATTGCAGGTGGTGCTGAACATTATGCAAACATCAGCAAACATCCCATGTCTCAACTGAAGATAAAGCAAGAAGGTCATTGAAGTAACTGCAGATGCTTGGGCTTATGACATAACTCTGAGGAACTCCAAAGTGATGTTCTGGGACTGAGATGACTGACTTTCATCAACCACAACTACCTTTCTTTGTGCCACATATGACTTGAACCAGAGAAGCGTTCCCCTGATTCCCATTGACTTGAGTTTTGCTAGGAGCCCTTGATGCCACACATGGTCAAGAGCTATCATTCCCACTCCACGTCTGGACTTCAGCATTTTTATCCATGTTCTAACCAGGGCTTTAATGAAGTCAGGAGCTGAGTGGCCTTGGTGGGATCCAAACTGAGCATTGGTGAGCGAGTTATCACTCTGCAAGTTTAATAGCACTGTTGCTGACCCCTTCCATCACTTTACTGATGATCGAAAATAGACTAATGGGATTAATAATTAACTGGGTTGGATTTGTCCTGTTTTCTGTGTACAGGACAAACCTGAGCAAATTGCCAACAGATGTCAACGTTGTAGCCACACAGGAGCAGCTTGGCTAGGGGTGCAGCTAGTTGTGGAGCACATGTCTTTTATAATGGTGAATTAAATTATCTGAAGACTGGCATCACATTAAAATGCTGTAAATGCCTAAACTATGGAAGATTGGAAGCAATATTATAGATTTCCAGGCTAACCACCATGCAAAGTATACAGACTTCTCATGTTAAAAATGAAACAGAACGTGCTGGAGAAACTCACCAGTTCTGACAGTATCTGTGAAGAGAGAAACAGAGTTAACATTTCAATTAAAACGGAAGAGGGCAGGAAAAGTGATGTGTCTTATGCTGTAGTAAAAGGAGAAGAAGATTCAAATGGTACATGTGAATATTTTACAAATGCAAGAGCCAAAGAAAGTGCTCATGGTAGTACAGAAGAGATATAGATAAGCAATAGGTATTGATAGCAGAAAATAGGTCAGCTCTACTGGGAGAAAACTTATGCAAACAAGACAAAAGGTGTGGTGGAAGGGGCGATGTGGGGTTAGGCTGTAAAAATGGAGGACATCTAGAATTCATAATCTGATGTTGCTGAACAAAAGTTCTGTCGTGAAGGCTGCAGAATGCCTAAGCAGAAAATGAGATGCTGTTCTTCCAACTTTTGTTGGGCTTTAGTGGAACACTGCAGGAGGCCTGGAATAGATATATCAGCATGACAGCACGATGGTGTGTTGAAATGCAACCAACCAGAAGGTTAGGGTTGAAAGAGCATTTTACTGATGATTGAAAGAGCGTAGGTGTTTTGCATAGCAGTTGTCCTATCTGTGTTTGGTCTCGACAATATAGAGGAGACAGCATTTTGAGTAGCAAATACAATAGGTTAGATTGAAAGAACACTTAAATCACTGCTTTATAGGAACATGTTTGGGGCCTTGGATAATGAGGAGGGAGGACATAAAGGGGCAAATGTTACACATTTTGCAATTGCATGAGGAAATGTCATTGATGGGTAAAGAGATGTTGAGAGTGTTAGAGGAGTGAACAAGGGTTTCATGGAAGGAACATTTCTTGTGGAATGCTGACAGTGGAGGGGAGGGGAAGAGGCATTTGGTTGTGGCATTGTTCTGGAGGTGGTGGAAACAGTAGAGGCTGATCCTTTGATGTGGAGGCTGTTGGAGTAGAAAATAAGGACAAGGGTAATACTATTGTTGTTCTGAAAGGCAGGGGAAGGGGTGAGGGCAGAAGTGGAGGAGGTGGGTCAGAAAGGGTTGAGGGTCCAGTCATCCACAGTGGTGGGGTGGGATGGACGTGGGAATCTGAGGAAAAGGAAACACATATTGAAAGCATTCCTACATCATTGAACTGACGCACCAAAGAGAGTGAAATCAGGAGAATGGAATAGAGTCCCTACAGGAATCCGGGTGTGATGAAGTTTAGTCAAGATAATTGTGGGAGCTCAGAGCACAAATCTTTAGCATTACAACTTGATGAAGACTCCGAAACTTCTATCCAATGGCTTCACCTATTTCTTGCTATCAAATGATATGAATTCAATGTGTTGAATCTTGGCTTCTATGATTTTGGCAGACAGTTAGAGGACATGGATGGATATCAGTGTAACAAGTGATGAATTGGAGCAAAATGTGGGGAATATGGTACTGGGATGGAGAAGTGAGGAGCCCAAACTGAAGCCAGAAGATAATTTGAAAAGCATAGCCTGATAATAGGGGGGATTGGTTTTTTAAAAATTCATTTGTGGAATGAGGGCATCACTGGCTCCACCAGCATTTATTGCCCATCCTTAATTGCCCAGAGGGCAGTTAAGAGTCAACTGCATTGCTGTGGGCCCAGAGTCAGATGTAGGCCAGACCAGGTAAGGACAGCAGTTCCTTTCCCTAAAGGACAATAGTGAACCAGATGGGTTTTTCCAACAATCGACAATGGTTTTGTAGTCATCATTAGACCCTTAATTACTGATTTTTATTGAATTCAAATTCCACCAATTGCTGTGGTAGAATTTGAACCTGGTCCCTAGAACATCACCTGGGTCTCTGAATTAACAGTCCAGCAACAATACCAGTAGGCCATCCCCTCCCATACCATGGGTGAGAGCAGAAGATGACGAAATGAATCCAGAACATGTGAGTGAGCAGAGGATCCAAGGTTGTAATAAATAAATAATATGTAATGGATATATAAATTCTTGCAACCAAATTATTTTCTGTATCATGGTTAATACATCTGATTAAATGTATCAAATGAGGAATAACGTCATAGGTCTTTGAAGCAATCAGCTTGTTAAAAGTCAACATTTTTAAAGATTAAAAAATGAATGTCTTTTTTGTTGTTTTCAGTTGAAAATGTTTTCTCATTTCCAGTGACTTTCCTGCTATTTACTGCTTGTGCTTTCTATTTATTATTTTAAACCCAAATTTTTAGACCATTTCAAATTTCCATATCATTAATTACATCCCTTCCGCAACAAGGTGGTAGATACATTACTGAATTGACACAAATACATCAGGCATGTTCACTAAAAGGTGCACAAACTCTGAACTGGTAAACTTGTACAGCAAAGTTTTAATTATGAACAAGGTCGAAGGTTAGTTTCTTGCACCACCATTGCTGCAAGTTCCTCCATAGAAAACTAACAGTTATTAAATAGAATATAGATAAAGGTTAAAGTAGTCCAGGTAAGAGGATACTTAGTACAGTCACATTT